GGGGCTACACGGCCTGTACGGCGATGACGGGAGCGGGACTGTCGCGACGCTAGGTGGAGGAGGTCGTGAAGGTCGCGATCAAGGTGGGCGAGGAAGAGGGAGAGAGGGAGGGAAGGAGGAGGAAGGGAGGGAAGGAGGAAGAAAGGGAGCGAGGGAGGGAGGATGGAGGAGGGATGGAGGGAAGGAGGAGGGAGGGAGGAAGGGAGAGAGCAGGGAGGAAGGGAGAGAGCAGGGAGGGCGGGAGGAGAGGGGGCTACACGGCCTGCACGGCGATGACGGGCGCGGGACTTTCGCGACGCGACGTTAGGGAGGTCGTGAAAGTAGCAATTAAGGTGCGCGGGGAGGATGGAGGGAGGTAGAGAGAGAGGGTGAGAGGAAGGAAAGGGAGGAGGGAGGAAGGAGGGGCTACCTGGCCTGCACGGCGATGACTGGCGCGGGACTGTCGCGCAGCTACGTGGAAGAGGTCGTGAAGGCAGCGATCAAGGTGCGTGGAGAGGAGGGAGCGAAGGAGGGAGGGAGGAAGGGTTAGGATTAGGGTTAGGGTTAGGGTTAGGGTTAAGGTTAGGGTTAGGGTCTGGACGGCCCCCGGGTTACTTAAAATCTGGCCCCCTGCTACATTAGACGGCCTCGGGCTACCAATTCAGTGGCCCCGGCTACATGTTAGCCGGCCCATGGCTACAGTCAGACGGCCCATGGCTACAGTCAAACGGCCCATGGCTACAGTCAGACGGCCCATGGCTAGAGTCAGACGGCCCATGGCTACAGTCAGACGGCCCGTGGCTACAGTCAGACGGCCCGTGGCTACAGTCAGACGGCCCGTGGCTACAGTCAGACGGCCCCGGGTTACATCAGACGGCCACGAGTTACATTTTGCTGGCCTCTGGCTATACAAGTACAAATGGCGTGTGCAATAGCCCAATGACTCAGTTTTGCCAATAATTATCGATCGGAAGGAGATATCGATTAGCAAATGATATCGGCGTGTAGCCCTAGACCTTTTTCCAGTAATCGTGCGTAAAATATTTGAGTATGTACAATCGTGTACAAATAATCGCAACATGCCGCATCCTTATATTGATAATTTCAATGTTTTGGCCGAGGACTGCGGTAAAAAAATCTCATACGTGCCGGTCGCGTATTTACGCGAGCGGCACGTGGATGAGTTACTGGGACGTCTTGATCACGGTCTGCTGGTGAGTGAGAGCGGACTTATAAAGTTCAGCACTGAGGAGCTGTGGGAGAAGATTGAGGAGACGGTCAGTAAACCGTGGCCTAAACGTGTAGCATATATCAAACGCTCGTTTATTAACGCTTGTATTGTACTGGGAAAGGTTGTTGTTGACCTCCGCTCCGGAATCGTAACATCGTAGATGATTGCAGCAAGGAGTAGAGATGATCTGTCGGAGCAGATTGTAGCATCGTAGAATTGTAGAGTTGTTAGCAGCGTAGAGTTAGCAAATGGTAGCAGATTGTAACAAAAATTCAGTTATGCAGTTATCCGCATCCTCCACCAATTATTGTAGTTTAAATAGGGTTGTTGATCTCCGCTCCGGCATCGTAGCAGTGTAGAATTGTAGCATCGTAGAATTGTAGAGTTGTTAGCAAGACTTTATTAGTAAAACACAATACAAAATATATATACACTACGGCAACCTAAGTGACCTTGCCTAGGTCCCGTCATCTCTGTTTTCGTCCATTACATCTCCACTACATCGTCTCTTGTCTCTTCCTCTGGGTAATTACTAAC